ACCAGTATGGTATTGTTTTAACTCTAAGTCAAACCGTAAAAATACAGAAATTTTTTCCCCATTTAATAGTAATAATAATGTAGATCATTTCTATAGCGACCACTCCCGTGTGAACTTAAGGCGTTTTACATTAATTAAGGGAGTGTCTACGTACATGGTAACCAGGCACCTAGCCTCAGTATACGTACACGATAAGCGGCAACCGGGCACGTAGTCTCAGTGTCTCACATACACGGTAACCGGGCAGTTCTGAACTCCAAGTTCAATTTTTGTCATCCGAAGTTGCCTTCAACCCCAGCAATGTGATGCAAAAGCCCAGATTCACTGACCGGTCACGATGGCGAGCCCGACAAGACGTACATGTATGACTTTCTTTTTTTTTTTAACAAGTGACAGCACAAGACAAACATTGATTTATTTTCATTCCGGTTACCGTAGGTCGTAGATACTGAGACTAGGTGCCCGTGTACGAACAAAATTCATGCATGCGCGCACACATACATACACACACACACGTACATCTTACACACACACATATGCACACCACACACACACACCTACTTTCTTATTACACGCGCACGCTTACACTTACATCAGTTAACATCAGATCTTTATATATCTCAGTTTGTGTTGTACATGATGTATTCTGGGGAATTTCCGTTATAGCTTTTAGAGTACGCCCAGTAGACTAGAGCTGGGCCGAAACCATGATTTACGTAGGCCTATCGGCTCTGTACTTGCACCATTTCGAATTTAAAATTCTGTTAAAATTAAAGCGTTGATGTTATTTTGCCTAAAATTGCAAGAAATAGCGAAAATTGCAAAAAATCGCGGGTTTATTGTTGAACTCGACGGAAAACGCGGCCGCAAGACCGCGATTTCCTGGGGGGCCAGATATAGAATCTAGAATCTATATTTTTTTAAAGGGAGTGTATACAGACCCGGTAACCGGGAACAAAGTCACAAAGTATACAGACCCGGTTGGGGAACTCTTTTGTGATTTCGGAGAGTTTCTGCGCCCTCTTGGCTCAGGGTAGACCTAGGTTCTTCTAGATCAGTGGCCTAGGTCTAGATCTACATCTAGGCAGACAGACAAAAATCTTTGATCTAGTTTCGCGGCTAGATCTAAATGAAGATTGCGGATGTCTTTTCGATGAACGATCGTTTTTCCACCGTTTTGGAGTTGGAGGAATCGCAAGACGCAATTTGAGGAAAAGAACAATGTCATAATTTCAATCGAGCAGTCACCCTCTCTATTTCTCTCTCGCCTTCTCTTTTTCTTTGTTTGTCTCGGTCTTCCTTTGTCCCCACCTATTTCACACTCTATCTTTCTCTCGTTCCCTCCTGCAAACTGGGGCATGTCATTACATTTTGCTAGCACCTCTCTCTCTCTCTCTCTCACACACACACACACTATATTTCTACCGGCCGGGTCTGGGGGCTGAAACTCCCCGAAATCACAAAAGAGTTCCCCTACCGGGTCTGTATACTTCGTGACTTTGTTCCCGGTTACCGGGTCTGTATACACTTCGTTTATAAAAAAGGGATCAAGGTTGGGGGGGGGGGGGCTGGGGAAGTAAGATGGAGAGAGGAAAAAAGGAAATGTAAGGGAAAGAGAGAGAGAGAGAGAGAGAGAGAGAGAAAGAGAGAAAGAGAGGGTCGGGGGGAAGGAGAGGAGACATTTGGGCTGTCTTATAATTATAAGGACTGATTATGAATTTTAATTTTTTTTGTTTTGATCCCTTTTTGTATTTGTAGTTCCGAAACGCAGTGTAATAGCCTACCAGTAGTTTAAAGTCCGAATAGCAACGGGAAACTATTCGTACCCGAGTCTAGACCTCGCCGGAGACAAAAAAAAAAGTACGACAGTACGGTACAACCAGTGATTGCGCACGCGCACTGGAATTTGACATTTGAATCCGAATAGCCTCCAGCGGCTGTTCGGACTCGAGTCCAAATGAATTAATGAATAGCCACTTTGGGTTTTTTTAGTAAGTTTTTAAGTCCACTGCAAACTGAACGAACACAGAACAGTTGGCCACCACTGTCTGAGAGAACGCAAAAGAAATGTCGAAAGTCGAAAGCGGTTAGATCTAGATCTAGATCTAGATCTAGAGACCTAGATCTAGATTCTAGATATATCTAGATCTAGATCTACTGGATTCTAGGACAGTAAATATTTAGATCTAGATCTAGATCCTACTATCCCAGAAACATTTCCGCCATCATCACATGCCAGTCACTCCTCTGATCCTGAAATCTGTCCAGGGTCAGATGGCGAGGCAATCACAATTTCAATTGCTTCATCACATCACCTTCAAAACACAGCCACAATGTGACAACATCAAATAATCACATGACTCAGTAATTATTTTCACTGTAATTATACACCCCCATGTAAAAGAACAGTTACACACATTTTGCTTTTTTTTAAGGAAGCAACTACAGTATAACCCAACTAGATGTATGAGGCGTTTGCCTCGTCTCCAGTTCTGAGACGAACGAGTGTTCAAAGGACCGTGGGACCGGGGTGCGGGTGGGGTTAGCCTACAGAGTAGAGTAAGGTTAGGCCTAGGCACAAACATCAATCAGCTGCTGATGGCTGAACGAAACATTAACAACGAAATTATGTGTCATGACCGGAATCCAAACAGGTTGGGATTTCTACACATGCAAATCGGTATTAAATTGATATTTCACATACAACAGAATCGCTTTAGTCTTGGTCGTCTTGTTTTGATTTACAGTCATTCGTCACGCAGAACTGCATCTGCCTGCACGCACAGCGCTTCCGCTTCGCTATTCGAAAACACCACAACACTGGCGCAAGATAAATCAGCCAATGAAAAACCAAGACGATCTTCGTTGTGTCGCTAGTTCGCAGTCGACATATTGCTGTGTGGTAAGAAAATTATTTTAACCGATAAAGAATTTAACATTGGTCATGTAATTATAGGCCTAATATTGATTTATTGACAGTGTCCGAGAACACTCGTGCCGAAAATTTTTGCCACTCAAAATTTGAAGCATTGAGTGAATTTTGCGGACTTTTTTCGGATGTATTGTCTTCAGGTAGGGAGGCGTAGTCTTGGGGGGGAAACGTGGTGGATACAGGTGTAAGCAGAGCACAGAATTCTACACTAAGTGTAGAATTCTGTGAAGCAGAGAGACCCCGAGAGGCGAAATGAGCAAAATAAGGGAAGAGTGTGTGTGCACCAAGGGACCTTACAACAAACAAATAACCTCCTTGGTGTGCACAGACAGCTAGGCAGACAGACAGACAGACAGACAGACAGACAGATAGACAG